CCTTGAGCAAATTGAAAGGTTCAGGGGAGGCCGTGAAGCCAGATTACCCAGGCAGTGCTTCAAATCCTGTTTGCTAAAGCCCCATTAAAATAGTATAAGCAGTGGGATATCTCGGTTTCCATCATGGCCTGATTCCCGAGGGATTTGCCCAGCAGCTTCCTCTTGTGTTTCTTTTATAACCAAAGGGCTCAAAAGTTTTCTGCAGTAATTCCACTTGGCAAACATTCAGACTGCCTCCCTCGGAGGCTGGGTTATAGGGCAGTGTTATCCTTGTTTTGCTGGTGGGTAACCAAGCCACCGATACCGTGATCTGCCCAAGGCCATGCGGTCAGGCCAGCTCTTCCAGAACTGACTGGTGGTTTTGGGTGTCAACTTTGAGATGACTTAGATGAGGGTTATTGTCATTCAGCCAGTGGAGAAGGGGACTTGTTCCATGGTCATGCAGCAAGAAGGTGGGATGAGAATCCAGAATCCCAGTATCATTCCCCAGCTCCAACCAGTAGATACCACTCCCCTCCCAGAGCCAGGAACAGAACCTAGGAGTCCTGACTCCCATCTCCCCATCTCTAACCTCCTAGGTCTCATGGCTCCTCCCAGAGCCAGGAGATAGAACCCATAATACTGTGGTACCAGCTTCCAGAGGAAATTAGAAAATGGAGATTCCAACCATCTGTGGGGCTCAGAGCAGGTCGATTGGATATAGCTCTTTGGGGTAAGGTCTGTCTGTGTTTGTACAGCACCTGGCATGATGGGGTCCTGATCCCTGACTGGGGCTGGTAGATGCTTCAAGGCTCTATTGTTAGAGGTGCTGGATGCCCCTAGCTCCTGTGGACCCTAAGTGGAATTGGGGGTGCTGAAATTCAAGTCACATCTGCAAATTTTGGCCAGTTTCAGAGCTAGGCCTTATATCCCAGCTGTGGTCTCAGACCTAACCTGCTACCGCTTGCCACCCCTCAGACATAAGATCTCCTAGCCAGCCACCCTGTGAGGTAGCTATCTTCTCCCCTTTGGACAGCTGGGTGAGATGCGGTTAAAGGGACAGTTTCAGATCTGGTCTGTGGAGTGGTTTTCAGGCCTTTTCCACAAGTGGGGATTTCAGCCATCGGTGGGCAGCAGTGCAGCAAACCACTGGTGCAGCCCCCACCTCCTCAATGCCAGGCCAGGTTGACCTGGTGTGAAGCGAGCTTGGGTGTCAGCACAGTGGTGCAGTAACTGGGGCAAACCCACTGTGCAGACAGGGTGTTGGCAGACTCCACCGGATCCCAAGGTCTCCTGCCAAGTTTTGTGGTTTTATAGCATGTGGTTCAGCAGATCAGCCACTGCCCTGGGAATCAGGACCACCTGGGTTTTGTTCCTGACTCTGCCATTTAACTGCTGTGGGACCTCCTGTGAATCACTTCCCTGCTCTGTGCCTCAGTTTCCCCTCTGTCTATTTAGACTGTGTGCTTTCGGGGGCAGGGAAAGTCTCTCATCATGTGTCTGCAGCACCCAGCATGATGGGGACCCCAAGCTTGATCAGGGGACAAGGGGGATCTACAGCACCTGGCCCGATTGGACCCCGATCACTGTGGTTTCACAGCCCAGAATTTGGGAACCAGGTCCTTCCAGGCTCAGTTTGGGCCAGATTTTTTGAGTACTTAGCGCTCCTATTGAGTTGGGGAGGAAGTGTGGCTGACTGCGGCACATCCTGGGCTGGGATACGATGGGTATAGGTTTTAGTCCCATCTGTGCTCTGCTTTGGGACCTTGGGCATGTCATGGCCCCTCTCAGTTTCCCCATATGTAAAATGGGTATAATACTGCCCTCTCTTGTAAAGCGCTTTGTGATCTACCAGTGGAAAGTGCAATGGAAGAGCTAAGTGTGAGCCACTTGGAACTAGGGGCATTTTCTATGGAGCTCAGAATTAATAATAAATAAATATTTATATTACAATCAGTGCCAAGTGGCTTCCGCTGAGATCAGGACCCTCATATTCTGGGCACAGCATGCAGAGACAGTGAGTCTATGGCACAGAGATCTGATGGTTTAATCAGGCAACACAAACTAAGGGTGGGAGGGAAAACAGAAGCACAGATAGGGGGAAGTGACTTGTCTAGGGCCCTGCAGTAAATCAGTGGCAGAGCCGGGAACAGAACTCAGATCTCCAGCTGCCTTAGCTACTGCACCGCCCTGTCGGAGCCAAAGTCCACTCAAGTTGATTTAACTTAATTTAATTGGGCTGGGAATTGGATGCTACTGAAGTCCTTGGGATGTGGCACACTTTAGATCATGACATGATGGAGGGGAGGTGGTTGCTTGCATGGATGGGGAGAGAACTTCACACTCCTTGTCAAGCAGCAGTTAAAGCCGGAGGGAACATGCCAACGTAGTTTATCATTAAAAACCAGTGGGCAGAGTCCTCAGCCAGTGTAACCCAGGATAGCTTCACTAACATCAATAGCACTACCCTGATTTACACCGCTGGAGGGTTTGGCCCTATATTTTCAGTGCGGTGGGACCTTTCAAAGTGAGCCTTGAGTGATCTTAAAAGATCCAGGAGGAATTGGATCACTTCACATGGGAGCGGACCGTTTTCAAGTCCTGGCTTGGGCAGTCCTCCATTCTAGTATTGCAGCACTTGGATACACCAGCAAGTGTGGAAGCAAATTTATAAAGGGAGCATTGACTTGTGGTTAGAACAAATTCAGCAAAAGAGACTGAGCCAGAACTCCTGGGTTCTACTTCTCGTTCTGCTGGGGTTGCCCTGGGCAAGTCTCTCCCTGCTGGCCCTTCTGTATCAGGTGGATAATACTTACTCGGCTTTTCAGAGCTTATTTGCCAGTGTGCTTTGAGATCCTCTGATGGCAGGAGGGCAAAGTATTTTTGTTTGGTAAAAGACTCTTCAAGCTATTGAAATTGATCAGATTCAAGCTGCTTCGGGACAATGTGGGAAAATGGTTCTTCTTTGACCTGTGTGTGGGAATTGGGTTCTGACTCAGTCAATGGGCATTAGATGTCTTTGTTTGAAAGGATCAGGGTCCCTTCACCAGCTCTCCTATCGCGGCAGCTGCAGCCCCTCCCTCCTGGGCACAACATGCTTTGAACCCTCATCTAATAACTCTGCAGTCCCAGGTTACCAGCTGTTGCAATTCTATAAGTGGCCTTGCCCTTGGGGTGAGGGGTGTTCCCTTCAGCCCAGGCGAACAGCGTAGGGTAGTTTGGCTTGGCCATTGAAAGCTGGTGTGGGGAGTTTCTGGAAATTATTTGAGGTGGGATGATTTTAGCAAGCCCCTGCTTGCGGTAAGCTGCATAATATTAAATACCGAGGGCCAGATTCCACTCTGCTGAGCTGCGGTAACTCCACTGACCTCTGGGGCGATGCCTTGGGCAGAGTGAGGCCAGAATGTGGCAGCAACTTTCTAGCCAAAGCGCAACCCATCAAGTTCAACAGTCAGCCTCCCTACCTTCAACAAGGGGGCACAGTCTGTGGGTAGAGGACGGACTACACATCCCAGCATGCTGTGCTCCACTTCTTCGGAGACCTGGCAGCATTGTATGCTGGAATCTGTAGTCTCTTGAGGACAGCTCCTCGCCGCTTGGGTAGTGAGGTCTGGATGTGAACTACAGGTGCGCTCCTGCAAGCAGAGGCCATAGCTCTGGGTTTCTGGCACATGAGTGGGAAGAAGTTCAGAAAGGGTATCCCACACATGTTCTGAGCTGTTGAGCGTATGCACCAGCTACTCTCTGTGCCTCACGTGGTTCCCCTGCCCCAGTATGTGGGAGGGGCTGTTTTATTTCAAGCCTATGGGAGGATTCAGACCTTCCCCTCTTCCCCATTACCAGTGTGGTATTGAATGTGGTAAGGCGGGTAACGACCGCAGCGACCTCCCTGCTTGTTCATGGACTTATCCCAGTAAAACTTCGCCTCAAACTTCCAAGGGCAAACAATGGGCCTTGGTTTCTCGTCTTCTCATTCTGGCAGGTTCCCAGCCTTTCAGTGGCAGAGCTGCCTCCCTTGTTAACATGGGGACAAACGGTTTATGTTGAAACTGATCCGGGAAACTGACACACCTGAAGAGGCTCTATCTTTGACCACTTCCTTAAATCTCACCTGATGAACTCCTTATATTTCAGGCATGCTGCCAGTCAGTGCCAGTCGGCTGAATTACAGCAGACCATGCCGTGGCATAGCAGGGAGTGTGGGCAGCAGGCTGGGAGTCAGGGCTGAGAACTGCAAAAGCGACTAGGGAGATTTAGCTACACAACGCCTGTGGTGTGGTTAAATCTCAGGCTAGGATGCCTGGGTTCCCTGCCCTAACTTGCGGTGGCCTTGGACAAATCACCCAGCTGCCTCTGTCTCTCTGCTTCAGTGCCCAGGCTATAAACCCACCAGGATAAGCTGATCTAAGGAAGGGTCAGGATCGTTTGCAGTGACCAATCTGCAGCCCAAACCCAGCTGTATCCTGTGTGTCCGTGTGCATCTAGCACTGGGATTCCAGCACAGCACAGTCACTCCCAACAGCTGCTAACCACTTTGCTGAGGCCTGGGGTGAGCAACCCTAGTATGAGAGAAAACAGGCGTTTGCAGTCTGTGTGGGAAAATCTGCTTTATCGAATCATGGAACGTAAATGCGAGAAGACCCATTATGTCTTACCTGGCCTGTCGCCCCATGGAGGCCAGTTCAACATAGTTCCTGACAATCTGCTCCAGGGTGGCATGGCCCAGGGCGAGGGGAAGGGTTGGTGCTGTGCATTCCAGCCGCTAGTGGCATCCACAAAGGGCTTTGCTCTCTGATGGGCAGTGTCAGTGACGGGGCATGTTGGAAGCCGGGGTGCTGGATGGTAAGCAGCATGGCTGTAGGTATCGCATCCTCCTTCAGCGAGGCCCCCACAACCCCGTGCAACACAGACAGGGATCTGGGGCTATAAGATGCAGAAGACGGGGGTCGGGGGGTCCTCTGAAGCAGAGGGTGGAAAGGGACCCAGGCATCCGAGTGCCTGACTCTCGCTCACTCCCACAGCCCTGCAGCTCCCCCTGGCGAACGATGGCAGCAGCCGCTCCTCTTCCTCGGAGAACTCTCCCCAGCATCAAACGCACCAGCCGCGCCCCCGCCACATGCTAGGCCTGCCCCAGCCATCCTTCCCCATCCCCAGGAGCATGGAGAGGTAAGCAGTGGGGAAAGGACACCACCTCCCAAGTGGTGGTGATGGGGCTGAATGAAGGAAACCCCTGGGGCTGCTGTTCTTGGCCTGGCTAGCTGGCTCCCTCTACAGGGTGCTGCTGCACCAATCACCTATTTTGTGTATATGTCCTGTAAACTGGTGTTGCGAGCCAGCTGGCTCGGCCAATGAGGTGGAGCAGGCCACCTGGCTCAGCCAATGAGATTTGTCTGACCTTATTCTGGTGGGCTAGCCAGCTCACTGGGCTAATCCAGTGCCACAGTGTGGGGGGACCACTAGACTTGATGAGCCTGTTGCTACAGGTGGGTTGGGGTCCTCAGCCAGTGCCTAGCTTGGATTCTGACCTGGGCTCTGGTAAATGTCAGGGGAGTGCCTCCTTCTCAGGGCCAGTCACTTGATTTGGTATATTGTCTTCATCCAAACTTTCTCCACTTCTCTCTCTAGTATAGAGATAGATCAGAAGCTGCAGGAAATCATGAAGCAAACGGGTTACCTGACCATAGGAGGGCAGGTGAGTTGGAAGAAGTGCAAAGGTATCATATTCTCAGTGCTGCTCCATCAGTAGAACTGTAGGTGCCAACTTGTGCAGAGTATCCCTGATTTGCATCAGTTTTCCTGTCCTAAACTGTTGAGTGGAATTTTGCTTTTAAACAGCTACCAAACCCTAAAGGTGGCTGCATTTCAGCGCTGGGCAAGCATTCCCTGTTTATTGTTGCTCTGCACTGGTAAACAGCTGCCAAGTCCCACCCCCGAGGTGGCTGCATTTCATGACTGGGTGAGTGAGCCCAATGTGGAGTTGCCGTGCAGCTATTAAACAGCTCCTGTGCAGTGTCCCAGAAGTGGCTGCTGTTCTGTGTTGAATTTGGTTCTGGCTTGAGACAAAATCCTCTGCCCCAGAACAGGCTGCATGAGGGCAAGTGTCCCCCTACCCCCCACCACATGCATATGCTGCCCCTTGTTGGGATGCCCATCCTGCAGGGAGAGGGGAACTGAGGATTCCCTGCCCTTTCGAGCTCCATTGTGGGTTAGAGAACAGGCAGGTGGTGCAATGTGGGGCCAGGGGGAATCCAGTTGCCGGTCAGCGAAGCCTGGTACCCCACTGCTGGCATACCTACCATGGAGGTTATCCTTGGGAGTTGTCCTAGCTCAGGGTTGTCTCCTGGGCCCCTGTGTATAGACATGGGCTCTGCTGTACGGCCCCTCCTGTAATCCTGTGTGTATGTGTCTTGGTGCAGCGGTACCAAGCAGAGATCAATGACCTGGAGAACTTAGGCGAGATCGGCAGCGGGACATGCGGTCAAGTGTGGAAGATGCGGTTCAAGAAAACGGGACACATCATAGCCGTGAAGGTGAACATCGGGGGCAGGGCCTTAAGAACAGACCGAGCAAGGGGTGAATAGTTCCATCAGGAAGGGAGGGGGTGTTGTTGAATGGGGAGAACAGAGAACTGAGGATCAGGACTCCTGGGCTCTATTCCCAGCTTTGAAAGGGGAGTGGTGTCTAGTGGTCAGAGCAGGGCGGTGCTACACGTCAGGACTCCTGGGTCCTATTTCCAACTCTGGAAGAGGGGTGGGATCTGGTAGTTAGAGCTTGGGGGGCCAGGGCTGGCCTTCTGGGTTCTGTTCTCGCCTCTCATTGGGGAGTGGTGTCTAGAGGTTGGAAGATGGGGGCCTTAAAGCCAGGACTCCACTGCCTCCGTGTGACTTTGAGCAAGTCATGTCCCATGTCTGTGCCTCAGTTTCTCCATCTCCGAACTGGAGATAACGCTGCCCTACGTGGGTGGGGAATCATCTGCGTTAATTAACAAAGGGTTCTACGGTCCCCTGCGTGGCAGGGCAGAGCAGATGTCACTGTTCATCCCTGCAGTCGGCTCTCAGCCCATAGAGCCGCTCTGTAATCCCCACCTGTTGTCTGGTCCCCACAGCAAATGCGCCGCTCAGGTAACAAGGAGGAGAACAAGAGGATCCTGATGGACCTGGATGTGGTGCTGAAAAGCCACGACTGCCCCTACATTGTCCAGTGCTTCGGGACCTTCATCACCAATGTAAGAGCCCCCTACGCTCATGCTGCAGCTCTCCATCTCCCCCTTGTGGCTGCGCGCCCTGGCTACAGCCTTGAGCTGTCAGAGCTGGGTCGTCCAGTTCAGGCAGCTGAGGCTTGTACTTGTGGAGAGGTCCCGGGTTCGATTTCCGCTGCCGCCCCCATGTGCGGTGCGACTGTTACCCAAAGCCGCCACCTCCTTTCCGCATGTCGCGCCCCCTGGTAACCTGGCCTTGGTTTCCCTCCCACACAGACAGACGTCTTCATTGCCATGGAGTTGATGGGCACATGTGCGGAGAAACTCAAGAAACGCATCCAGGGGCCCATCCCCGAGAGGATCCTGGGGAAGATGACGGTGGCAGTGAGTTCTGGTGGAGCGAGGTGGGGGAAGAGCAAGTGGGGCTGGATGCAGCGTGATGGGCACCTGCCAAACCTTTCTCCCACGTGAGCAACTGGGAGGGACCCGTTGCACCGCTGGGTTGGCTTTGCGCAGACAGGGTCTGTGCTGGGAAAGGGGCTCCCGGAGGGCGAGATCTCTTGCCTCAGGGGCTTGTTCCTACTGATCTCTGCACAGCACCCCGTGTACGCCTGGGGCCTTGGTCTGCAATTCAATCTCATCAGCTGGCTCCTCCCTCCTCCAGGACAGGAATTCTGGGATTGATGGGCCTAGAACTGAGCTCTCGGTGCCTGGTGTGCTCTCTGCAGAGCTGAGTACAAAGGGGCTGACCCCTCCCTGCTGCATATCGAGCCTGGGATCTCTTTGGCTTTTCTAGCTGGCCCCTCCTTTTGCTGATCCTCCTGTGGTGAGCCCAGAGGGCAGGTGGGTGCAGTGGGCTGACTCTGGGAGACGCCATCTCTATCAGCATGGGGTGGCCGTGTCCTTTCAGATTGTCAAGGCGCTCTACTACCTGAAGGAGAAGCATGGCGTCATCCACCGAGATGTCAAACCCTCCAACATTCTGCTAGACGAGAGGGGGCAGATCAAGCTGTGTGACTTCGGGATCAGCGGGAGGCTGGTGGACTCGAAGGCCAAGACCCGGAGTGCGGGTTGCGCGGCGTACATGGCGGTGAGGGCTGGGCCGTGCTATGACATAACCCCCGCAGGCTTGGAGAGGGTGCTGCTGGGCCTCAGGCTGCCTGTGCGCTAATTGGCAGCTGTGGGTGCCTGAGCCCCAGGGATGGGTGGTATCTTGGGATGGGATCCCCTTTAATCTTGCCTGCTGTGTTGGGTGAGGCTTGGTCGGTATTGGGATGGGAGACCTCTGAAAAATGGCCAGCTGAAGCAGCTCTCCAGGGTGGCTCTAGGGGGTGCTGTCCTGCTTGAGATGACATACGTGAGCCAAGATCTAAAGGATCCTCAGCTGGTGTGAATGGATACAGCTTTGGTGATTTCAGTGGATCTGTGCTGATTTAGGCGAGCCATGGATCTGTCTTTAATGACTCTATGGCCCATTTATACCCGCTGGGGATCTGGCCCCCTCTGCTTGCCCCAGTGTGCATGGCCTCATTTCAGCCAGGTAATTCCCCCCATTAGCCTAAACTTTAAACTGGTTAAATGAGTCCTATTGACTTCATTGATATGCACATTAGAAATCTGTAGATAGATTCACTCCCGGGCTACATTGCAGCATTGCTGTGTGGCTGTTATGCAGCTGCCTCGCTCCACCCCAGAGCTGGCTGCATATCAATAAAGAGTGGCATGATTTCATAATCTCAGTCTGTAATAGGCATGTGCTATAATGTAAGATCCTAGCCTCCAGGTGAGCGCCATTGGACTGAGTGTGTACTGACTTTTCTTTTCCAGCCTGAAAGGATAGACCCTCCTGATCCCACCAAACCAGACTACGATATCCGAGCGGATGTGTGGAGCCTGGGCATCTCGCTGGTGAGTGAAGTCCCTTCTTTACTTTCTCATGCAAAACGCTGCTTTGAACTCAGTGCCAAGATTTGCCACGAGGGGCTCAGTGATCTCAAGTCAGCCAAAGTCCCTTGGCCATTCTCCCAGTCACGGTGGAGTAAGGGCATGGCTGATCAGCTGCTGGGTTTTATCTCCAGCTGGTTGGCAAGATTTCACCAGCATGTTTTTTCTGTCAGAAGATACTGATTCATGAAAATGGAAACTTCCCACGCGGCCATGTTGGGCTCAACACCCCCCCGCCCACCTCCCCCCAAAAATACCCACAACAAAAAAAGTTTTGAAAATGGCAAAACGTCCCATTTTGATCTTTCAGCCCAAGTGGCTTTTTGTTTCTAAACTTATGTTGTTGTATATTATTTTTTTTTTATTTAAAAGGTCCTAACCGAAGTGAAACGTTTCAAAGTTATCAAGGTTATTTTCAGCTTTTCAGTTTGTGAAAAATTTGCAATTTTTAGCTTTTTGTGCTGATTCAGGTTCAGAAAAAAATTCGAAATGTTGGTCTGGGAAATTCTAGCCCAACCAGCTCTGCTTTTACCCTTGGCCAACTCAATGTCTCTTCGTCTATTGAGGAAGATACAAGGACAAACCAGTAGCTGGTTTGTGTGGGTGAGGGATGCAGGTTCTTGGACAGCCCTACGATCTGTCATAAACTTTGGGCACTCCTGTTCTTAAAAGGAATTGCCTCGGCAAGAGGAATGCAGAAGATAGACTGGTCTTGTGGCTAGAGCACTGCTGTGGGGCTCAAGAGTCCTGGGTTCAAATTCCAGCTCTGCCACTGACTCCCTGTATGACCTTGAGCAAATCACATCATCCCTCTGTGCCTCAGTTTCCTACCCACAAAATGGGTATAATGACCCTTCCTGTTCTCTGCCTTGTCTGTTTAGCGTGGGAGCTCTTTGGGGCAGAGACTGTCTCTCACTCTGTGTCTGTGCAGTGCCTGGCATAACGGGGCCCCAATTTCAGTGAACCATAATGTTCCTACTAACCTACTTTTGGAAGCGTTAATATCTTTTTAAGATAAAAAGTTCCTCTTGCATCAGTGAAACCAGGACACACACCTTTGTCACTAGGGCCTTAGGACCAGAAAGCGAAACTGACGAGAAATCCAGCGAAACAAACCTGGCTAGGGCCAGTGCCTAAGCTAAGTGAAATGCAATAGGACATATCTGTAGGAAAAAAAACAGATATTCAGATATCAAAACATGAACCAAAACATTCACACCAGGGTGCTTGAAGTTAGCCTGGTAGGAAAACACCTCCTATTTCAGTGGGAGTCAGATCAACCCTCTAAATCCATAGGAATAAGTGAACTAATGCCAAACATCTGTTTAGCTTAACAAAGATAAGGGGTTTCTTGATCAGTCTGTAAGTACCTATGTGGGGCACAGAAATTTGACAGTAATGAGCTCTTCTGTCGAACAAAGTTCTGACAAGATCCACTGGCTGGAAGTTGAAGCTGGACAAAGTCAGACTGGAAACAAGGCACAAATGTTTAACAGTGAGGGTGGTTAACCAAGGGAACAACTTACTCAGGGCTGTGGTGGATTCTATATTGGGTGTTCTTTGGATCTGCATTGGATTGTCCTGCTCTAGTTCAAACAAGGTTTACTCTGAGGAAGTACTATGGCCTGTGTTTTACAGGAGGTCAGACTAGATTCCTTCTGGCCTGGGAATCTAGAAATCTATGAATTACACTAGGCCCCTGTCTGCATTTTTAGGCACTTGGATACCTTTGTAATTTTGTAATGACTAGACCCCTAATTTCCAGAGGTCTGAGCCCCCACAAATCTCATTGCATTTGATGGAAGTAGCACAGCATCATAGATAGAGCACATGGACTGTCTCTAAGCTCCCTGATTCCATTTTAACCCTTGCTCTCCCACCTCACTCTGTCTCCCCCCGCCCCGCAGGTCGAACTGGCTACCGGTCAGTTTCCCTACAAGAACTGTAAAACGGACTTTGAGGTGCTCACCAAGGTCTTGCAGGAAGATCCTCCCCTGCTCCCAAACAACATGAGCTTCTCCGTGGACTTTCAGTCCTTCGTTAAAGACTGGTGAGTGACGGCCACGCTGCTGGGGAGCCGAGGCCCTGTTTGTGGGCCCCCGACCCCGGGGGGGAGAACCAATCCACTGCATCTATGGGGCAGTGTCAACTGCTGAGGGGCCATGCCTTGATCAGAGCTTAAATTGCCCATGAGCCTGTACTGCTTCAATAGATGTGACTCAATGAGTGATCTCCTAAGTAGATGGCACAGGAGCCCCCATACCCTGGCCAGGGGCACCATTTAGGGAGGGGGGCACATGCTCCCCCTTTGTTTTGTATCACAGCAGAGCAGGGGCGCATTTCAGATTTTGGTAGGGGTACCCCCATGCCCTCCCTAAAAGGCACCTCTGCAGGCCAGCTCCGCGGCACAGCATGTCGGGCTCGCGCTGTCAGACCCTGTGCCCCTTCTCCAGGGAGCGGCTCCGGCTGGGGCTGCGCTTCATGGCAGGGGAGCTGATAACGGTGCTGCAAGTGCTGGATGGCAGCTGGTGGGAAGGGCAGAAGGAGAATGGGCTGCATGGCTGGTTCCCGGCGAGCTACGTGAAGCAGCTGGAGGTAGGAGACTGGCTGCACCGAGTGCCTGGGGGGCAGGGGGCATGGGGAGGGAGTGCAGGGGGCTAGGGCCATGAGGGAGTTTAGAGGAGATGGGGATACATGATCATCAGCATAAGCGCTCGGAGGATAAGGGGTGCATGAATAGGGCCATGTGATGTGCAAAGTGCTGTACGGATCTGTGCTGTAAGGGTCCGTGTGGATGGTTAGCTCAGGATGGAGCTGTTGCCTTCCCAAACCCGAGGTCTGGCCATGCCACACTGGCTTTGCTCACACTCCCTAACCCGTGTGCAGGGCTGAACCCTGGCAGAGCAGTGTCGCCAGCCTGGGGCTTGGCCCTTCCCAGCACTGGGGTAGAGCGGGCACCTGGGGTTAAGGCTCTCATTAAAGTTGCTAATCACCAGTTGTACCCACTAGAGCAGGGGCTCTCAACCTTTCCAGACTACCGTACCCCTTTCAGGAGGCTGATTTGTCTTGCGTACCCCAAGTTTCAACTCACTTAAAAACTACTTGCTTACAAAATCAGACATAAAAATACAAGTGTCACAGCCACAGTACTACTGAAAAACTGCTTGCTTTCCCATTTCCCCCATAGAATTGTTATACCAAGAAAAGAAAAACCAGCAGGATCTTATTAAAGGGGATAAGGCAATATGCCGCATTTATTGTGAATACAGAAAGAATCATAGTGAGCAGTCAGTTATAACTATAAGATTCCATTCAATTTCACATTCATTCACACACACGCAGGTTCTGCAAGGTTGTTATCACAGTTACCAGCCTTAGAGTTGCTCATGCCAAGCCACTGGCCAAGTGGCCTGGACACGAGGAGGGAGCAGGTCCTTTCAGATTCACATCTGATGCTCCTGGAAGTTGGTTTGCAGAATCAGTTCAGGGTCTGTTCTCATAGGGATCCATCCTCATGTATTTGCCTTGTCATGCTGTTCTCATGTTTGAAGTGGTAATCAATGACTGGTCTCACGTTTGAAGTGATAGTCAATCATGCAGATGGCACAGCAATGCTGGAATGACAGTATGCTGTTACCTTGTTCTTCGGCCCTTCTGTTCTTGGGGCAAGTACGCCCTCAGGGTTATCGGGCTATCTCGTCCACTGTATTCTTCAGCCAGACGGTCTTATTTTAAGGCTGGCACCTCAACCTTTAATTTTTCATTCCTCATTCAATTACACATACAATCACACTCACACTCCAACGTGTATCCTGTCACATCTGCGTTTTATCACTGACCCATCCTTTAACATAACCATTCTGAAATCAGTGGGACATGGCAGACTTCAATAAGTCTATTCATCCCACTTGTTACATCTAAAAGGAAACAAACAAGATAAGCATGCAAGAGCGGGGGGTTCACAAAGCTTATTCTGGAGTTCAGGAAAACAAAGTTGTACCAGCCATAAAGGCCAGCTGTTATCTTGTAACTTTTAGAACAATCTTAGTCTCTGGATGTGCGTCTACAATTAACAATTGGGGGGAGGGATAGCTCAGTGGTTTGAGCATTGGCCTGCTAAACCCAGGGTTGTGAGCTCAATCCTTGAGGGGGCCACTTGGGGAGCTGGGGCAAAATCAGTACTTGGTCCTGCTAGTGAAGGCAGGGGGCTGGACTCAATGACCTTTCAAGGTCCCTTCCAGTTCTAGGAGATGGGGTATCTCCATTATATATATAATACTGACCTTGTAAAACTGACAGGCAGTTTCAATCAACCCAGACTCAACAGGGTGGCTGAGAACCATATTTCTTTCTAATGGTCAGGCCAGATTCTGGGGTCTGCTGTGGAGTCACTCTTTCTTACGTTTCCCATATCAGAAATATACCAGTTATCTGTCTAGTCCAACATAATTATAAAATAAACCAATTAACATAGAAATATGATACTTACATTTCAGTGTATAGTATATAGAGCAGTATAAACATATTGGGTGTTTGAAATTTTAGTTTGTACTGACTTTCCTAGTGCTCTTTATGTTGCTTTTTGTAAAACTAGGGAAATATCTAGAAGACCTGTGTGAGCCCGGGGTACACGCCCCCCTGGGTGAGAACCACTACAGTAGAGGGGGTTTGGAATGTAAGGGTTTCTCGGTTGACAAGACAGCGTGCTGGGCTGCACGGCTCTGGCTGAACATCGCAACACACACCCACGGGGCACAGCTCAGGTCACTCACAGGACCAGAGCCATCCCGGGGCCTTTGCCGCACGCAGCACTGACCTCTGCCCCTTGGCTGTTGACAGACCTTTTTTTTTGACCCTGACACAGCTGCATGGCGGGGGCAAGGAGGGAAAGCCTCCTAGAGCCCCACATGGCAGTGAGCACCCCCTGGCACTCCCGCAGGAACTGGGGAGTCCCAGGCTGGAATTCCAGCTGAGGAGTCTGGAGACTCAGGTCTTTCACAGCCCTTGTCCCTCACACGGATTTCAAATGGCAGTGGCCAGCTTCTATCTGACCCTGTTCTACACTCCACTGAACAGCTCACTGGGCACTGGGATGGCGAAGGAGGAACTCAGGGAGGTGCTGCTCTGTTGTGACAGTCCCACAGCCAGCTGGAACTGCCATGTGCCCCTGTGCTGCACACAACAGCCTTGGAGAGCTTCTCAGCTGGGGCAGAACCCCCGTCGCCTGCACCAAAGCACTAGGCCGTGATGCCTGAGCTAACGGAGAATCTCTGCTATTTGTTAGCAGTGTAAGGCCCAGGACAGCCGGGGGAACCACAAGAGGTACATGGTGCACATACACACCAGCCTGTTCATTACACACTTGCTGTGATAAACACAGCTGGCCCTCAGAACCCAGCTGTTCAGCTCTTACTTCTGACATCAGCGTCAGAAATCCCTGTGCACCAAGTGCTTCCACCCTGTAACTTCCACAGTCTTTGCTCAGGCTTGTCTGAGATGGGATCTTGGGACCTGTCATTCCCAAATCCAGAATTCTCCTCCGAGAGCAACAGGCCCCTCAGTGACTGTGGCACCCCCTCCTCATATGGGACTTTCTTCACGGGGATTGAAGTGGGCTCCTCCCCACCACCAGCTGAGCTGGACAAGGCTCTGAATGGTTTAACGGCAGGACACGGCCGAACAGTTCGACTCCACTTCAAGGCTTGGATTGGGAATATCTTTCTGTATTATTCCCTGATTGTTCTAAACTTACATATACACTGAAAATACGGCTTTACTTGGTGTTTGTATATGTTTTCTCTTTCTTTATGTAGGAATTAGATGCAGTGCTCCTGTCAGCTAATGTCTAAGTTATCATCTGTAAAAAAAAATCTAGCGTGCCTAGGTAGCCCCTGGAATCATGGTTAAAGCCCCCCCCTCCCCCAATCTGAAATGATCCCCGGCCACTGGATGCTCTAGGCTCTCCCCTCCTTGCCTTACCGTTCAGGCCTCTGTGCGATTGCCTTCCAGGAGACTGGGCATGCTTAGCACTGGGGTCTGGGAGAGGCCAGCCTTCTCAGCACACACAAGGGGCCTGGGACTGGTACATCTGGTCAGACACAGTGGCTGTGTACACAAGGGCCAGACATCCGGGGGGGCTGGTTCGGTAACAGATAAATCCCCATCTCTGCCCTTGGCAATGACTCTTCCTAGCCAAATGCTTGGTCCGGGGTTAGAGCACTTGCCTAGGCCCTAGGACACCCAAGTTCAAATCCCTGCTCTGTCCCAGCTCTGAGTGAGGCTCTGGGCCTGCCCTGTATGATGGGGTAAGAACACTTCCTTCCTCCGGGGGGAGTGTGAGGATGAATGTGTTAAAAGGATTGTAAGGTGCCCAGTGTCAAAGTTAGATTCAGGACTCACAATTTGTTAGACCACTCTGTTTATTAGCACAGCGCTCTGCTAATACACTCAGATAATGTGAGCACCATGCAAGACCCACACTACCTTATTTTATACAGATAAAAAGGACGCGAACTTAACAAGAGGACAAGGAAAGCAGAACTGACAAGTTTACCTGAGGCTAGACATACATATTCAATTTCCTTACTAACTTTTACAGATCTCCGGTTAATGTTCCACCATTAGCTTAAGTGGACTCATTGTTTATGCCTTAATGTTTCTTTTCCTGACACCTGTATTTCAACATTCCTTATTTCTGCTTAAAGGTACATACAGCATTTCTTTAATCCATTCTATTTTTACAATATAATTAATTCTACTTTCACACCAGTTAAGCACTGGACCTGGAGTAGGTGACATCTCTGTACATCCGCACTGAACCCCGGCCTGTCCTGTTTGCAGGACGCTGTTAGCTCCCTAATTCCCAGGTTCTTGGGGACTCAGCCTCGTAAGCTGCTCGGTCCTCCTCTCTACCGGCCTTTGTTCTCATGCCATTAAGCAGCAAAGCCTACACTGCCTGGCCATAGGCGAGGTGCCTCCCAAGGGAAATAGCAGAAACCTAAGTGCTTGGGACAGTTCTGTGCTGGTGGGAAAGGCCTGTGTGCTAGGGAGCTCTCACAATCACTCCGGTGATAAGGGACAAAACAAGTTTCTTGAGCTTGACTGGCCTCTCGTGGCTGAGATTATTGATGCTCCGAAGCCCAGAGGGTTACATGTGGAGATGGCCAAGACTCTGTATGTGTTTTCTCTCTTTTTAGCCTTACTAAAGATCACAGGAAGAGACCAAAGTACAACAAGCTACTTGTGAGTATCTGACACAGAAATCCGACCGCCCGTCTCCCCGAGCTGCAGGGAGAAATGCCTCAAATAAGGCCCCAGCTGCGACCCCCCTACCCCATTTCATGCTGTACCAGGGTGAGCCTAGCAGCAGGTTCACGGAAGGCCTTGGTGTGATACCACATACTGCACACAAGGCTGGGGGGGCCCTCTGGGTTGCAGGGAGATCTCGGCCGCAGTCAGGCTGCAGTGAATCCGTTGGTCTATTTAAACATTTGCACCACTGCAGCGCCTCTACATCAAGCTGAATAAGCAGCAAATACAAAATTTAGTATTTCCCACTTCGAGTGAGTGGGGTCTAATGGTTAGAGCAGTGGGTTGGGAGTCAGGACTCTTGGGTTCTAAGCCCTGCTCTGGCGGGGGAGTAGGGTCTAGTACAGGGGTGGGCAAACTTTTTGGGCCGAGGACCACATCTGGGTGGGGAAATTATATGCAGGGCCAGGGCAGGGGGTTGGGGTGGGAGGGAGTGTAGGGTGTGGGAGGGGGTGCGGTGTGCAGGAAGGAGTTCAGGGCAAGGGATTGGAGCAAAGGAGGGGTGTGGGGTGTATGAGGGGGTTCAGGGAAGGGGGTTGGGGTGCAGGAGGGGTTGCGGCAGGGGGATCAGGACAGGGAGTTGGGGTGTAGGAGGGGTGCGGCAGGGGGCTCAGGGCAGGGGGTTGGGGTGCAGGAGGGTGCAGGGTGCAGGCAGGGGGCTCAGGGCAGGGAGATGGGGAGTGGGGTACCGGAGGGGTTGGTTCAGGCTCCGGCCTGGCACCGCTTACCTCAAGGAGCTCCAGGGTGGCAGCAGCATGCACCGGGGCCAGGGCAGGCTCCCTGCACGCCTGCCCTGTCCCTGGCCCCGCGCCGCTCCAGGAAGCGCTGCAGCTCCTGGGGGAGGCGGGGTGGAGGGCTCTGCGTGCACTGCCCTTGCCGCGCCTCCAGGTACCTCCCCCGAAGCTCCCATAGAATCATAGAATATCCGGGTTGGAAGGGACCTCAGGAGGTCATCTAGCCCAACCCCCTGCTTAAAGCAGGACCAATTCCCAACTAAATCATCCCAGCCAGGGCTTTGTCAAGCCGGGCCTTAAAAACCTCCAAGAAAGGAGATTCCACCACCTCCCTAGGTAACGCATTCCAGTGCTTCACCACCCTCCTAGTGAAATAGTGGTTCCTAATATCCAACCTAGACCTCCCCCACTGCAACTTGAGACCATTGCTCCTTGGTCTGTCATCTGCCACCACTGAGAACAGCCGAGCGCCATCCTCTTTGGAACACCCCTTCAGGTAGTTGAAAGCAGCTATCAAAT